GCCAGCAATAAATAACACTTTAATATCTAAAGAGTGTTCATGTGATTTTATACATTAGTAATGTTGGGAAATTAATAAATGCATAATAATCGTCATAATCGCAAAACCGTGATTATTCCTCAGACAATAATCGTACCAACAAAATCTATAATCGTGGAATCCCTACAGTCTGCCTGTTTTTAAGATCACACTGATTGCGGGAGGCACTTTAACTTTTCATAACATCAAAATGGTGCTGCATGCTATGAGGTCATCAACATGCAGAATCAAAACCGTCAGTTTATAAGCATTTGGGTTTCATTAACTCTCTTACTCATCCATTTCTCTACCTCATACACTTACACACTCAGTCACACTCTCTAGGTCTAAACATGTTCTCGCATTGTTTTTCACACTCTTCTTTTCTCCTCCCAGCACAGTCCAGGAATGTGGACTATTTTACTACCCAAAGAGACACGAAAGAGCGAGACAGAGTTTCACTGTTAAGGTTGAGTCAGAGAAACACTTTCTCCTTAAAACCATAGTAATAGAGTGAAATATACTGAAAATGTCATTCCTTATTGTTCTACACTGTCAAAGAGTGATCAAATGCAGATGTTGCGGGGGAGGTACAACAGTGTTTCAATGTTCATTAATGTTCTGTGGAAAGTGTATTTTATTTTGTATATTGCATATTTTATGTTATTCTGTCTTGTCACTGTGTTCTATATACATACTTTATATACTTCGGAGCCAAACCTGTTTTCATTTGTAAAAACAATACATAAAGTAATGTTTTAATACTATACTAAATGCAGTTTTCAGTTTGGTTTGGTCGACATTTATCATTTTTATAATTAGCTGTACGCAGAAACAACTTGACTGTGTTTCTTTACACAGTCAAGTTAAGGCTGATCTGTGCCTGCTTAAAATTGAGTGCAAAGATATGATGCAGCACAAAAGCCTAAATTATGCCTGCTCTGACCCCTAGTATCACAATATACAGTTGTAGTTGCTGTGTAAATGCACCTCTGATCAGTATTAAATAGTCTGGGTAAAGACACTTAAATGCCACTTCAGAAGCGCTTCTGTGCCACCTTTGAGGTGTACATTTGGCATAAGTCTACGGTATGTCCCCATTTAAGGCGTCTTGACATCGCCAAGTTAGGGCTGCTCTGTTCCTGCTCCAAATTCAGCGAAAAGACAATGCCGTACAAGAAGCATAAAAATTATGCATGTGCTAACCCACCTCAACCCTAATATCAAAGTATACAGTTGTAATTGCTGTGTAAATGCATTGATGCCACCCCTGAGCAGAAATAAACAGTCTGTATAAAAACACTTGTCATTTCAGAAGCACTTCTGTGCCACAGTCAAAGTGTAAATTTGGCATTAGAGAATAAAACATGAGTGTATATACTGTATATACAGTATGTTGCTGCTTTTGTATCACAATATACAGTTGTAGTTGCTGTGTAAATGCACCTCTGATCAGTATTAAATAGTCTGGGTAAAGACACTTAAATGCCACTTCAGAAGCGCTTCTGTGCCACCTTTGAGGTGTACATTTGGCATAAGTCTACGGTATGTCCCCATTTAAGGCGTCTTGACATCGCCAAGTTAGGGCTGCTCTGTTCCTGCTCCAAATTCAGCGAAAAGACAATGCCGTACAAGAAGCATAAAAATTATGCATGTGCTAACCCACCTCAACCCTAATATCAAAGTATACAGTTGTAATTGCTGTGTAAATGCATTGATGCCACCCCTGAGCAGAAATAAACAGTCTGTATAAAAACACTTGTCATTTCAGAAGCACTTCTGTGCCACAGTCAAAGTGTAAATTTGGCATTAGAGAATAAAACATGAGTGTATATACTGTATATACAGTATGTTGCTGCTTTTGCAGTATTGTATGCAAAACATTCATGTCAATAACATACTATGTAATTTGAGAAAGAGAAATAGTGAGAGGCAGTGAATTTGATACAGACATAAATATGTTGTCCTATGGAAAAACCGTGTTATTTAATACTAACATTATGACAATTCATGTTAAGAACCTGCAGTTATTTCAAATTAAACAACATTAAATCACTTTTATTTTCAGACCTTACCTTACAGATCCTGATCGCTCTCTGGGACTCTTCTGCAGTTGCAGAAGTTGTATCTCTGAGACCAGGGAAATTATAGTGACCTAACACAGACGTTTATCAGGTTTTGTTTCACTTTCTGACTAAATAAAACACACTTCAGAAGTCTAAAGTATATATCGTTACTTTCACTCACGTTTGGGAACGGTCTGGTGAGCATTAAAAGTTAATGTTTACCAGTAGCTCAGTTGGAAAGCGCTACACGCTCGAGCTCACTTTTTCGAGACGCGATATTTACGAGGTAGGAAGTGTAATTACTTCAGACCATACTTAAAAACAAAGGCCTTTCCGACTCTAAATACGGCAATGTAAAGGAATTGAAACACAATAGCAAGATTGGACATTTCAACACGAGAAACAAGCGGCTCAAAATATCTGTGAGAGAGACACCCGCTTTTCTGGGTGTGACGTCTTACGTTTCTGACTCAAGTCCACGCTGATCCGCTCGGTCTCCGGTTCTGTCAGATCTCAGAACCGAACTGTCACGAAACCGAACGAACAGCCCTACACCAACATTTGGGCTCGAATAAATGTTTCGGATTAAACGGAACAACAAGTTTCGGAGTTTATCGCGATATCTCCCAAGAAGAACCATCCAAGAGTGACAGATGTGTCGTTTTTAAAGCCAAATATACGTCATTTGGCATTTTCCTTCTCCAGCCCACAAATCTGGAGTCCAAACGGGACACTTCCACAGCATAGAAAAGCGTCAGAAAGTTACCTGCTTGAGGTGCTGTCAAAGTCTCTGCGACGCTATAGGTGCTTATAGTTCCCGTGATGAGAGAAAACTTTCCATGTTACGGCGATCATGGTTGCAGGTGTTGGTAAACTTCCGGATTATGTTTTTTTTTTTCTCCGGTTTCCTTCGGGAGGGCAATCACGGCGTCACTGCGCTCAACACGAGTTCAAGATTGATCGTCAACATGTAGCAAATTATTATGTTTCCCTTCTTACTGATAGTGTGTTTACAACACGTTTCACAAATGTCATGATGTGCATGCGATTGTCAACCCACGTATGGACACTTCCGAGTTTGCACGAGCCTTGATTTCTAGGCGTGATTCGTGCTGCGCGTGAACTCTCAGGAATTCCAACGGGTGTGCGCGCAGTCTCAGGTGCGTGTGCCCGCCGGTTTAGGGCGCTGCCTCCCCCGAGTCAATACAGCACACATGAGTCCAGGAAAACTGCATGCAAGCTGGTCTCCCAGCCTAGGTAGGCTGGTTTTAAATGGTTTTAGGCTCCCTTCAGCTAGTCAGGGTGGGAGACCAGCTGGCCACCCTGCTAAACACCAGGCTGGGAGACCTGCTAGCAAGTGGTGGCCAGGGGTGGCACCGGCCCAGGTGCCCCCCCTACCAGATGTCTTGCCATAGGCTTGTTTTTAGTAAATTTCTAACTGCATCTGGCAGTGGCGGACCCCTAACCCCCCATTTAAAATGCTCTAAACACGCCCCTGCCTGCTAGATCATAAAATGTTCAGAAAACAGGCGGATGACTCTCAGGGTTGTCATGTTGGTATATAGTCAAATGACTCCAAATGTGACCTGGACCACAAAACCAGTCATAAGTAGCAGGGGTATATTTGTTGCAATAGCCAGCAATACATTGTATGGGTCAACATTATTGATTTTTCTTTTATGCCAAAAATCATTAGGATATTAAGCAAAGATCATGTTCCATGAAGATATTTTGTAAATTTCGTACTGTAAATATATCAAAACAACTTTTGATTTGTAATATGCATTGCTAAGAACTTCATTTAGACAACTTTAAAGGCGATTTTCTCAATATTTGGATTTTTTTTGCCGATTTTCAAATAATTGTATTTTCAAATAATTGTATCTCAGCCAAATATTGTCATATCCTAACAAACCATACATCAATGGAAAGCATATTTATTCAGCTTTCAGATGATGTATAAATCTTAATAATAAAAAAAAACTGACCCTTATGACTGGTTTTGTGGTCCAGGTTCACAAATGGGAATTAATGGAGCTTTTACTCATGATAAATTCGTTTTTTTTTTTTACAAGTTGGACCATAGAAACTAAATTTTAAGGACATTAAGCCACTTTGTTTGCACTTGATTCTGGTCTTGCAACAAGACAAGCAGCTTAGATTAAAAAAATATACAATGACGTTATTGAGGGTCTTGTGCAGTGTAGCTCAATATGACCACTTAAACGAGGCACCTCATGTGGCTGTGATCAGGCATTGAGTTGATTTGGGATGTGCCACAGCTACAGTGTGATATCTTATTAGTTCTGACAAATGTGTGTGGGTGTCCATCAGATCACTCACAATTTGTTTCTAGATTGTTAACTGTGTCTCCCAATGAGAAACCATTAGGTAATTTGACAAAGATACATGGATCTGTGCATGTGTATTTGTGTGTCCTAGTGTCATCTTTCTGATTCGGAAACTAATCAGGGCTGACTGTCCCTTAACCTTCTTCTTGCCAAATATAGATTTCTCTATATCCCCACCCCTCTGTGATATCAGAGAGATCAGTGAATGTCTTGGAAGGTATAGCCTTAATAAATAATTGGGTGTTGCCCACATGTGATATTTCAAAGCGAGTACAAGGAAATGAATGAGTGTCAAACCAATTAAAAATCCCAGTGGATTATTAAAGAAAAACATTTGAAATGTTAGGTTGGGTTTTAGGCATGCAACTTGATTATAGACATATTAATAAGTTATAATTAAATGTATTTTTAATTTATATTATAATTTATCATTTAGGTTTAGGAACTAGAGGAAATAAAGGATCACACACAGACAAAAATCTTGGTCTTTAGACACTGGGGTGGTGGTACACACAAAATATGAATATTAAAAAAATAAATAATTAATATGTTTATTATATAAAAATTATATAAAGTTAAACAATAAATACAGAATAGGCCATAGAAAACAACTGGTCTATCAACTGGAAAAACACTACAGCAGTACTAATTTAATATTACAATTTTTTTAACGTATTAATCTGCAATGCGTTCATTTATTTAGGTACTCTTAATTTCTCTTATTGCTTTCACTGGGAATATTGGTTTTCAGAATGGTCAGTCATACAGCATTGCAAAATATATTTGACTGCTGAATGCAGCGACTGACGAATCTGAATCAAGAATTAGAGTGTGCTGTAATAAAACATGTTATTTTACTACAACTTCCTTTCAAGAATGAGAGACAACAGAGTTTCCCCATTTCAAAGGTCAAAAGTTATTTTAAACCGACACTGACATGAACCCTAACTGTAACAGTATGACATAACAGTCTTGACAATCTTCATACATCTCTCTTCACACATATCTTCTCTGATTTTAACTTCCCTCACCCTTTTATCTTTCGTTGTGTAATCTAGTCTAGCGTTAATCCGATATAATCTATCAATTAATCTAGTGTTGGTATCATGCTTTATATTACAGTACGTAAACCAGTCTTTAGTGTTATATAGCCTACCTCAGCATGCATGTGTAACAACCTGTGCTTATCTTCAACTGTTGTTGTCATTGCATTGAGACACTATTAACAGACACTATACTTGTTCAGGTTGCTACATTTTCAGCATTAATGACAAATGCATAAGCATTAATGTTTCTGTGTTTTGCATATGTGCATTTGGCTGTGGTGACAAGCAGGCATGTCTGTTATGTAACCTGTAAAGTTGGCTGATTGAGAGGGTTAACATGCCAACATGGCAATAAGATAAAACTATACTTGTTCAGGTTGCTACATTTTCAGCATTAATGACAAATGCATAAGCATTAATGTTTCTGTGTGTTTTGCATATGTGCATTTGGCTGTGGTGACAAGCAGGCATGTCTGTTATGTAACCTGTAAAGTTGGCTGATTGAGAGGGTTAACATGCCAACATGGCAATAAGATAACTTTTAATTTATTAGGAGCCTAGACAGGTTGATGAGGGTTCCCCCTTATGTATCAAAAAGTAGGATATAGTTAGCTATCCAAGAACAGTTATGAAACCCTCCAACCACAGGCCAACCCCATCAGTGCGAAAAGGAATGCATGTCCTGTCAGTAATTTTCAGTGAGAAGCTGAGGTTCCTCTCGAGCAACCAATATTGTGCAAAATTAGTGTTCAATACGATATCATTCGAGGTTGCTATGGTTACCTCCTCAAGAACGCGACTTCTTCAGCGTCTATGTAGCGCGCTCTAACAACCCTGTACGTTTTGTGGCAACTGAAATGTTGTTTACAACGTTTTATATTTCATTTAGGCTCAACCTTTAAGGAATTCATGGGATCGGAGTCGGACCCAGTATGATAAAGAGAGAGGCGCTGTCCAATTAAGCAAGAGTCTTATGTGTCGAATAACGGGAGTAGTGGCGTCACAGCTGTTGGGAGGAAACACGTGTCCTGCAAAAAATAGCCGGTCACGGTTCCCCTCATGAAGCAGCGCTCAACCAGAGCTGACCGGTAAGATAACAGACTACCGACGGACTCACAAGTCACAGCTGTCAATCAGGTCTGTCCTTCTCGTCGAAAACATGGTGAAAAAGGCTAAAAGTCCCGTCACTTACGCAAAAATGAAGGGAATCGTTTCATATTTTACAGGTAAGCTCAAATACTTGGCTATTCCTCAAACTTTAATAAAAATGGACATCTTGAGATTTTGGGTCAGATATACCACAGAACGTATTTGCCTCAATAAATTAAATGTTTTAATGTATAGACTACTAACACTTCTATCTATCTAATATATACTAGGCCTATATCTATATAATATATATGGAAATTTGATTCTTTTTAAATTTGTAAAGATAACATTTTTTTTTAATTACTATACATATTTGAACACCCTAATAAGGGTTGTTCTGTGTCCACTATATGAAGATATTTCACTAATTAAAAATTATTTTGTTTTATTTTGTCAGCGTTAATTAAGGACAAGAAGTTCCAATCCAGCCACCCTATCTATCGACAGTGAGTTTCGTCCTAGTCATCATTTTCCATTGCATGAGCTAAAAGTGAAGCAGAGCATGGCTCTGTATGTGTTCCAGTACAGAGTTCAGAAGATTGACTCATTATTTCAGCAAAGATCAGCTGAAAAATCAGGAATGACTTTAGTCCTTTGCACTACGATGGCATTACAGATTGACCACAGTGTGCTTTAAAGACAATGACCTACTTATAGTAACATTCCAAAGTGAAACCAGTAGCCAAGTGCTGTTCCATATAGGTGTTGAATGACTTTGAGGCAGTTTTAGGAGAATACATAGACATAGAACTAAAGCTTAACATTTGTCTAAAGTACTTGCACTTTTCTGATATGGTTTCTTTCATTCCAGGATGGATTTCTTGCGACCTGAGGGAAGTCTTTCTGAAGATGACGGAGCAGCAGCTGTAAGTGAACTTTACAAGTTCATGTCCACTTGTGTGTTCTTGGCCTACATACAGATTAGCAATATCCTACTTTAAGTATTAATAAAGGTCTCCAGTTCTTTCAGAGACATAAGATTTGAGTTGCTGTACTGGTTGACCTACAGTAATCTATAGATGTAACAGGAAGTGGAGTGAACTGTGCTGTGGTTTCATATGTCACTGGAGTAAGCTGCTGACTCGCTCTCTCTCTCTCCCTGATCTCTCTCCCAGGTTTGTTATAGTAATCCACAATCAGAGGAGCCACAGTCTCGGTAAGCGGGTGCTCAGATATGAAGCTATATGGACATAAACATATAGAATTACATATAAATATGTATTTAAATATGATTTTAGGGTATCTGTGGCTGATTTTGACTACTTGAAGGTGATCGGGACAGGAAGCTTTGGCAAGGTATTATGTTTATAGCGTTTCACTCTGCTTTATATTTCTTTAATGTATGAATATTGTTTGAACCTTTCTTTGATTGTCTGTACTCAGGTGTTCTTGGCCACACACAGGGAAAATGGCAGATATTACGCAGTCAAAGTTCTACAGAAACACATCATCTTAACAAGGAAGGAGGTGAGTATGACTGTATAAATATGTGAGTATAATTATTTGATTCATAATGTGTCAGTGTGTATTCACTGTGTTGTTTTTTTGTACAGGAAAGAAATGTCATGTGTGAGCACAGAGTGTTGTTAAAGACTCTTAATCATCCATTCCTGGTGAAGCTCCACTTCAGTTTTCAGACTAAAGACAGACTCTATCTAGTGCTGGACTATGCATGTGGAGGAGAGGTATGTTTACTTAGCTACTAAATAGGGACATTCCATAGAATGTATTTTTTTGTTTACTGCTAGTTATAAATACTACAACCTAACCCTAAATGTTATGCATTTGTTTTAATTGTGTGTGTATATATATATATATATATAAAAAAATTTGTGTGTCAGATTTAGCTTACTTCTAGGTACACATACACAATCAAGTACAGCACAGCTTTGCATCTGGACTTGTTTATGGTGATAAATTCATATATAGTTTCAAGTCAGATGTCAATAACCAGATTACCCAATCAGAACTTTATAATTGAGCTACAGCTGGTTTTCAGATTTTATCTTTCTGTCCGAATATACAAGACACAATGTTTAATTAAATATTGAATTGAAAAATCACACATCACCTCTGTTAGATGAAAAACAACAACAACGAAGCCAATTGTAGTGGACAAACTACAGTCGCATTATCTAGGTCCTGTTAGTCCATCTTTGCAAACCCAGACTGGTACGATTTCAGGACTAAAGCATTTATAGGACATAAGGAATGATTGATTTAGTCCATCTGAAATTGAACTTTTAAAGCAGCTGTTTTCAACCAGGGTCCGCAGGATGACTTTAAATTATTTATGTGTTTGTGGCAAATCCAAATAGTACTGATTTGCATGTATTAATGATTGTCTATGTCATTTTTGCAGCTTTTTTACCATTTGCAGAGAGAAGGAGTGTTTGGAGAGCCCAGAGCCAGATTTTATGCTGCTGAGATGGCCTGTGCTTTAGGATACTTACACTCCCTGAAGATTGTCTATAGGTACCAACATTCTGAAATATCTGTGCCTCTATAATGCAGATAAGCCCATTCATATGTGCTTAGTGAGAACAAAATGAACACTAACTTCCAGCAGATTCGCAATGATCCATCTCTCTCTCACATGCTCACAGAGACCTGAAACCAGAAAACATTCTGCTGGATTCTGCAGGTCATGTGGTTCTGACCGACTTTGGCTTGTGTAAGGAAGGAATGAGTGGACGTGGCACCACCAGAACCTTTTGTGGAACGCCAGAGTACTTAGCACCTGAGGTTCTCCTGCAGAAGGAGTATGACAGGACTGTGGACTGGTGGGGTTTGGGAGCTGTTCTTCATGAAATGCTCTATGGCCTGGTAAACAAAACCTCCGAATGAATGCTCATTTAAATAAATAATACAAGTAGACAGGTGTGTTTTACACCCACTCTTTCTCATTCCAGCCACCTTTCTACAATGCAGATCGTCTTGAGATGCTCAGAAATATTATTTATCAGCCATTGGTATTAAAACCCGGAGTGTCTAGTGCAGCCAGAGATCTGCTGATGAGACTGCTAAACAGGGACAGGGCCAAGAGACTAGGAGCAAAACGTGACCTGGTAACCCAACAAGCACACACACACATTCACGAACAATCTGAAATTCATTTGTCTTGTGAGTGGCTAAATGTCATTTTGCCCTTATTTGGCTTTTAGACCGAGCTGCAGTCTCATCCATTCTTCTCATCTATTCATTGGGATGAACTTGTTGCAAAGCAAATTCCTCCTCCTTGCGTTCCCTTATTGGTGAGTTTTTTTTATTTATGTATTTGTTGTTTAAAAGGGATTATTTATTTTCCTTTATTAAACTTTTTTTTTGTCCATACAGTAAAAGTCAATGCTGGTTTTCACTGTATGGACAAAGACTTTCTTCAAAATATATTTTCTCTCTCTCTGTAACAATCTGAAATTCATTTGTCTTGTGAGTGGCTAAATGTCATTTTGCCCTTATTTGGCTTTTAGACCGAGCTGCAGTCTCATCCATTCTTCTCATCTATTCATTGGGATGAACTTGTTGCAAAGCAAATTCCTCCTCCTTGCGTTCCCTTATTGGTGAGTTTTTTTTTATTTATGTATTTGTTGTTTAAAAGGGATTATTTCTTTTCCTTTGTTAAACTTTTTTTTTTGTCCATACAGTAAAAGTCAATGCTGGTTTTCACTGTATGGACAAAGACTTTCTTCAAAATATATTTTCTCTCTCTCTGATTTATTTTTTAGTCCATACAATGAAAGTCACTGGGGTTCAAACTGCTGACTTTCACTGTATGCTCAAAAACATTCTTCAAAATATCTTCTTTTGTGTTCCACAGAAGAAACAAATGCATACATGTTTGGAACAACGAGAGGTTGAGTAAATGGTGTGGGAGACGAGAGATGATTTCATACAGATAACATGTAAATAATTGATTTGTTTACATGTCTGTATTTCAGTCTGGCCCTGGTGACCTCACAAACATTGACCCTCGGTTTACAGAACTTCCTGTTCCGCAGTCACTAGGAGCATGCGAGGAGTACGGAGCAACCTTTCCTGGCTTCACCTACATCAATGAAAACATTCTCTCACTGACTCGTGGACATTAAGACAGAATTCTGTCAGACCAATAGACATTTTGTCTGAACATGTTTCTAACCACAGAAGAAACAAATGCATACATGTTTGGAACAACGAGAGGTTGAGTAAATGGTGTGGGAGACGAGAGATGATTTCATACAGATAACATGTAAATAATTGATTTGTTTACATGTCTGTATTTCAGTCTGGCCCTGGTGACCTCACAAACATTGACCCTCGGTTTACAGAACTTCCTGTTCCGCAGTCACTAGGAGCATGCGAGGAGTACGGAGCAACCTTTCCTGGCTTCACCTACATCAATGAAAACATTCTCTCACTGACTCGTGGACATTAAGTCAGACCAATAGACATTTTGTCTGAACATGTTTCTATCGATGTTTAACTTAAGCAAACTCTGAAACACAGTTCATTTTTATGTTAGCAGGACCAATGCTTTTGCACGAGACTACAAAGTCTCTATTAAATGTGACTGTGTTTTTTTAACACTCATTATTTAATTCCCTTTTTAGCCCTATTTGATAAAAAATATATTTATACTGAAATACAATGATTAGTGGTGCTCTAACAATACTGTGATGAGATGAAGTGAGACTACAGGTTGCATCAGATGTTGGATTGTAAAAGTTGAGATGGAATGAATATTAAATCTCAGTGTTAATGAAATTGTGTATAGTATTCAGATGGCATTGGTTAAATGTTTTTGATGAAATTGTATGATCAGTAAAAGAATGTACATTTTTGGAGGAATTGTGGAAACAATTAAATTATTTTAAGCAAATGCGGGGTTATGGAGTATCATTATCATTATGGAGTTTCATTATAAATGGTTAATGTCTCAGTTAACATGTTTTAATTAAATTATCAAAAACTTGCATGCTTACAATTCAGAATTGTGCACAAGCGCTGTAAGTTACTGTAAATCGAGACCTGAATCACGAAGTAGCATCTGGGTCACGAAGTAGCACACAGTTGTCATCCACAGACCACTGGAATTTATCATTTGCGACTGCTTTGCGGTGTTTACTGGCATTTTTATCATGTTTTGCAATGCTCTGCTGCCTAAATTTGGCTCAAACCTACTTTGAAAACAACGTGCTTACGTCTGGCAAAAAGGGTCACTTTTATACTCACAGCGCCATCTTGTGGCGTCGTCACTGTCTTCCTTTTCACCACTCTTGCCACAATGCGGCTGTCAAAACATTGTATTTAAACATTATGAACTTCAGTTTACAACTTGACGCGGTGTTATTTTATTAATAAGCTCTGCCTTTCTCTTTTTATTGCATATGGCCAGAATATGCCCTTCAAAAGAGATTTGTGGAGAAAGCTGAACACGTGATTGCTACAGGAAATCAAATCATCACCAATACAATGACTGTAAACTGAAAGGATATTAAAATCCTACTCTGAAAACGGCACGTTTCAGTGAGCACGCACTTTAAAGACTGCATTAAAACGGAACGATCGCAACCCCGTTCGAACGCCACAGACTGGCTGTCTGTTTTTGTTTAAAGTGCGTGGAAAACGCAAAGAGAATCAAACCATTTTCCTTATCTGTATTATTAAGGCCTTAAATTGTTTTACAGCAACAAGCACCGATAAAACGAGTATCGCGCACAAGTAAATTCTAGGGTCATGTAATTAAGGACACACTAGGACTAAGTTGCTCTGGTTCTTTGTTACATTAAGAGCATCTGTCACACATATATGTTGCGATGAAGTTTATCTGGGCTGCAGAAGTTGGACAGACACATATTAACCGCGCATGCGCAATAACGCCGCCACCCAGCTCTGAATAAGAGTTAAGAGAGAAACGAGGTGAGTTGCACGTTTATCAATAAATACAACGTTAATGTCGTCACCCACGCAGTAAACAACGATACGAACACAGAGTGCGTTTCTTGTTTAACACTTTTCAACCCTTGTGGCTATTTTCAACGAGGTTTAAAAATCGTAAAGATAAATAGAAGTGACAAGTTTGTGCAGAAGAAATTAAAAGCATGCAATTTGTTATTTCCTCAGGTCTGCGTGCACCTGAGTTGTTATATTTATATACGGATGAATGGCAACTCATTCCAAGTGCCTCGGGAAATGTTTTTCTTTTGGATAAGCACGTGAAACTGTTGATTTGGTTTATTGTAGGATGCCCTGCTAATGTTACAGCTAGCCGGGGCTATCAGTCGGGCTAACGACATTCCGTGACAAGGGGAAAGTAAGGAGTTTGTTGACGAAGGGGAAAACATTGCGTTTTAATAAAACAAGTTGTACACTTGGCCTTCCCGTGTTGGTTAAAGGTCCGAGCGACGTGAATCAGACCAGAGAACTGTTATAATTTACATACTTTAAACGTGTCGGCGGCCCTTTGCTATGCTCCGCCATTTTGTGTGTCAGTCGAATGCTAGTAATGGGCGCTCGCGCATTGCACTTTATTTATGCTAAGAATAAATTCCGTCAGCACTTGAAATATCCAAACAAACGTTTCTTACTAAAGCAGACGAGCTTTTAGGTGATGTTTCCGAAGCGACGTGACTGCACAGTCTGGGATTTTGATAAAATTTTGATTTATGATAAACGGCAGGTCAAGAACGTTATTACACTATTGCACGTTGTATACGAATGATAACGTGCTTAAATAACGACTTTATTATGTGAAAACAAATACATCGTGCATGTGTAAGGTTTAACTTGTCATCGCAAATATCCGCGAGCTTTTAAAGCACAGATTTAACGAGATTCTTTTAAAACAAGGAAAAGCTGAACTTGTTCGTCTAACTTCACTTTTAACCGCTTTCCTCCATTAGTAACCACCAAAGTAGTTTAAATGTGTGAGTGAGAATCTGCATACATAGCTAGCCCATAAAAATTGACATCATAACTATGTAGAAATACATATTTTGGTCCTCGTTTAAGTCCTTGGTGCAATCCGTACTGCGAGCAGCAATCGCTCTCTAGCGGAATTGACTGGAACTGCAAGCGCCGCGCAGCTCTTTCGTAAGTTGCGGGCGTTTAGTCAGCCGCGGTCAAAACACGGTTTTCGAGGCGAAGTCGTCATATTTGAATAATGGAAACAACAGTTTTGTGTTGTTTACTAAAATAATGTGTGCTGACCTACCTTATTAAAAACGTCTTAGCGAATTTCATCTACCCTCTTGCCACATGGAAGTGATTATGATTGGGCCTATGAAGATCACTGACCATAGACCGAGTACAATAATAATTTTTTTACAACTCAAGTCGTTTTTATTAGCAAGCTATGGAAATAAAGCATTTGTATCTTAGTCTCACATTATATTGCATTTAAAGTTTTCTATGCCAGTCGCAGTAGATTTTTTTTTGGTCCCGAAATGCACTTGTGTATGCATTACAGTGCTTTGTTGATTGGCCTCAACAAAGTCCTCAAGACGTAAAATAATTTAAAACCAGACAAAACAAGCATTAAAGTAAACTGAAACAGCTAAAAAGTTTTTCGCATATTTCTACGATATTTCATATTTTCATTCACCCCAACAACAGTTTTTTTGTTTGTTTGTTTGTTTTCCCCATAGTCTTGGAAAACCTGAATATATGAGAAAGTCTAATTTAACTTTAAATAATGCCAATGGCATTTTTATAATGGTTGTTGTTGTACATTTTAGTAGTTATGCCAAGCTCTAAAATATCAAGTAAAACATATTTGTAGTTTGATCAAATTTAAGATGCTTACTTCAGTCACCTGTCCATGTCGTAACAGTATATTTTCTCTTTTGACCTCCATAGATAAAGATGGCAGAGACATCTACGAGTGATGGTCCTGCCGCAGGAGCCGATTTTGACATGATGAGCGCTCTTGATTGGAAGGACGGCATAGCCACTTTGCCAGGAAGTGACATTCGGGTACAAATATTTAATGTATATGATGCATAAAGAGTGGAGTGAGGGACATATTTGACTGTTAGGAATGTGCTGATGCAAAAAAAAAAAAAAAAATTCTGGTCTGTTTTTAGTTTCGGATGACTGAATTTGGCACCTTGGAGATCGTCACAGAGGTGGAGCCCAAAGTTAAAGAGGCAGAGCTTACAGGCCCACAGCCTCAAACTACAGGCACCAGCAACACTCATTCTTCTGAGCAAAACAAAACATTAAATCAGACTGCAAAGCCCCAGTCAAATACAGAGCATCAAACAAATGCAGTGGGTGAGTACCTGTAACTCGCACGTATTCCTACCAAATCTAGGAATTATTTGCCTTTTTAATACATTTTTAGGAGCTTAGTATCTCTTTGCCTTCTTTCAGTTTCCACTGACCCCCACAGGCAGGCAGAGAGCAACAACGCTGTGGAAAGCCCTAGTGTGAGTACAGTGCCCAATGAGATTGTTCCCATGACTGAGACGACTGCAAACTGCAGGTCATGTGGTCACTCTGGTTCACGCGAATCCTTTCTACAAGGCAAATATTGCAGCGCTCCTTGTGTACAGCCCACCAGTGGCAGGTACATGTTTTTGGCATTCACTGAGCTCTGCTAGTTGCACTGTTTATAGTGTATTAAGTCTTTGTGTGTATGTGTGCAGGTCAACCCCAGCTGAGGCTGCCGAAGGGGAACGTTTAGGTAAACGTGTGAGAAAGAAGAAGAAGATGTTTATGGAATCTGGAGATGAAGAGGAGGACAACATAGAGGAGGAAGAGGTAATACACACACACACATCTACCTCAAACAAAGGAGATCAAATTCAGTATTAATGAGATGTACTAAAGTGGAATTTACTGTATTGCTCAATGACAATTTTTTTTTCTCAGGAGAAGGTTAGATCCTCAAAGGGGAGACGAGCAGCTAAAGTTGCTAGACTAGGTTGGTAATATTAATTTATCTCTCACATACATGCATAAACACAAACTCTAGTTAAAAACACTAATTATTTAATAACGCTGTTAAATGTAATTTCAGAATAAATATCCACACTGTACATTATGATGTTGTGATAGCATTTAAACAACTGACTTTTTGAGTTTTTAGTCTTTTATTTTACTTAGACAAAACTGTAAAGAATTGTAATATTGGCCATTTATCTGTTATCAGCCATAACATGAATATAATTTTCGGTTGGCCAAATACTTTAAAAAAAAAATTCTATTGCTGCAGCTCAACTTGTATGGGTAGATTTTGTCTTGTATATTTTCACTCGGTTTCAAATTGTCCTTTATCCTGTGTATTATCAATTGTAATGATTTTTCCATGTATAATCACTTAAATACTTTTCTAAATCGTATAACTTGCCTCTATTTGATGTAGGGCTGCACAATTAATCGAATTTCTAATCGCGATTACAATTATGGATGCCACAATTACGTAATCGTTCAAAGCGGCAATTAATCGTTCAAAGTCCACTTATGTTATTCTGCATGCTTTAGATGCTTTTTCTTTCTTTCTACATGTTATCTTAAGGGTTTTTCCATTGTTAACATTATTGTGTAACATTAGTGTTTTCAGCTTGTTTATTTTCATATAAAAATATGGCATGCAGTTGCTTCAAACAAAGGTGTAAACATCATTCATTAAATTGTAAATTAATAATCGCAAATACAATTTCAAAGGAATAATCGGCAATTATAATTTTTGACATAATCGTGCAGCCCTAATTTGATGCTGTGTTCATAGTGACTGCACCTCTGGTTAAGAAGAAAACCTGGAGTTGGTCAGCTTATCTAGAGGAGGAGAGAGCCATTACTGCTCCCTTGAAACTTTTTAAGGAGGTGAGAGACACAGCATATCTAGCTTGTGTGTCTGTTCACAGTTATATAGATAACATGGAATGATTAGGGTCCTGATTAGGATGGTTAGTTTGATGTCAATCCGTTTTTTATCATTAGAAACAAATAAGTGTTACTTGAACAAAAACAGCTCTGCATCTGGATGGAATTTTGTGTTTGTGTGTTTGCAATACAGCACCAGTCATTTCCTCAAAGCAGGAATGGATTTAAAGTTGGCATGAAGTTAGAGGGATTGGACCCCAGTCACCCTGCTTTCTTCTGCGTTTTGACTGTTGCAGAGGTAACCAGAGTCAAAAGTTCCTGTGATTTTATTTGATATGTGATTTTTAAAGAAAATATATAGATAGCTGTGCTTATTGTAAAATGTGTATTTGGACATATTTGCCTTCTGTTCCAGGTGCAAGGCTACAGGATTCGGCTTCACTTTGATGGCTACCCTGAGTGCTATGACTTCTGGGTAAATGCTGACTCATGGGATGTGAAGCCGCCAGGCTGGTGTGAGAAAACGGGTCTCAAGCTATTGCTGCCAAAAGGTGTTTAATGCTGGTTGTCTGTTGTCAAGGATGCAACATGCAAAGCAGCTCTTGTGCAGAGCTCTATTTTTGTTCTCTGTAACATATTAGATGTGTTTTATAGATGTTTCTTCATGTGTTGAAACTACTTGATCTCAATTTTCACTGTGATTACAAAATGGTCTATTAGTTTTTATTCTGAAATTGAACATAGATGTAATAGTATTGTAATTGACACGATCATTGATTATAAATAATAAATACCACAAAATATAATTCAATAAATTAATGGAAATATAATAAAAATGTAATTTACTAACTGTAAAATATATAATGAAATTATAATTTATTTTATTTGTTTAAAAAATGGTTACGTTAGCATATTTTTCATGTTGTTTTATAACATTTGGAATGGACAAAATTGCAGGGTTTTTAGACACTCTTAGGGACTATTCACACAGATCATGTATTTGCTTTGAAACATGCGAGATGCGGGCAGTGGAATGGGGAAAAAAACGCAGGGGCTTGAGAAACAGTTCAACCCAAATATTTAGATGTGTGCAGCACATTTTATGGAGGACTGTTTACTGATCCTGGTAGAGTAGACTACAATGCCGGCTGTTCTGACTCACAGATTGTAAGTAAGTTTTTTTTTATATATATATTTAAAGAGTTTTTATTTTTTATATTTAAAGCAAGTTTTTTGGGCAGTGTAGAGTAGGGCTTGTTGTTTGTCATTTCTCCGATCACAAATGCAGACATGGTTTTATGTTTACGCGGCGCGATGCAACGCGTAAAAAGACAGTATAAGTCATTATAATCCATAATTATGTCCCCACTGGATGCAAGGAATGCCTCGTTTATAATGGGTTTTCATGTTTTTGAATCATGGCACCGGCCTGACAGGGCATCACAATATGGTAGAGGGGTGTAACATATCCGTCACACGCTTGAGGTATTCGGCCAATCATAACGCACTGGATAGCTGGCTAATCACAGCACACCTTGCTTTTCTTTTCTTTTTTTTCTCTTCCTTTATTAGGATTAGCAACAAGTACACAAAAATATACAACCCTAGTAACACCTTGCTTTTCAGACTGATGAGCTTTGTAAAAATCGACGCGTTTCAGAAAGGCGGGGCGTAGAGGAGAAACAATAATGTACAGTATGTGGAAAATATTTTTTTTGAAAGTTTTTTGAACCTTAAACTGCATAAACACATTTCATTACACCAAATACACAAAATAATGTTCTTTTTAGCAACATCATATGACCCCTTTAATTCTTGCCAGTGTTTAACCATTCAGCACTTGCACGCTCTCCTGGAGACAGTACGCTAATGCACACTCGCAGCGCACACACATATAACGGCAGGTTCACATTACTCCGTTTGCAGTGCATACGTGGTGCGAATTTTTTCCGCGCTCATGTTAACGGATTAAAGCGTTCACTGCACACGGTTGCGGTCCAGCAGTGCCTTCCACGAGCGGTGCGGAGATCGTTTCCTCACCAAGTCTATTGCTGCGCTGCAAGCAATGAATTAAAGTAACAGCACATTGTTTGCAGTTAATAAGAACATGGATTGACACGAAAATGTTGCAATTACTCCATAAATGCATATTATTAAAGTCTACTGTGTTTCACAGTCAACACATATGGCTTTTTGACTAGGTTTAAAGGGAAAGAGCACTTTTAGATAAACAAGGCAATAATAGATGGCACTCATGGAAGTAGAAAAACAAAGTTATGAACCGCATGATTGCTTGTAATAAAGATTTCAATGCAAAAGGAAAGGCAGTAGAGCTGACTATTTCTGTCTATGGTAAGTTTGTGATAATGTAAGAAAAGTAGTTTAAATGTTTTACCAATTGCTTGAGCAACTTAATATATAAATCCAAAAGTAAATGCAAAAGTAAAAAGCATTGAATAATGTGTTGCTTATATTTATTGTGTTTAAACATGTCTGTGAAAGATTGTATTACTGTACTGGGTAAAAAAGAATTGCAATGCTTAAAAAGCTGTTTCAGTGACAATGTTTGGATTTGAAATCAAAATGATGGATAAATGTTGTGTTTGTGGTAAACATCCATGGATCAGTAGTGGACTCCTGTGTGAATGCTGCTTCTCCTCTCACAAGAGACACCTAAGAGGGGAATTCCCCCCATTTTCAAAAATGAAATTCAGGCCCTGAATAAATATCTAAAGATCCTGATTGGAGTATCACTATAAATAGTTATAAATTATAAAAAGAAGGCTTTAAAAAGATCGGTATCGGTGATCGGTATTGGCAGATACTGCTTTCTGTGATCAGTGATCGGTGATTGGCCTCAAAAATCCTGATCGGAGCATCCCTAGTTTTTGACAAAATCTCTGGAATTCGACGCACCCCAGCAAGGGGAGGTTATCGATGGGCAAACAGCACTTTGCCTGTTACGTCGTTTGGGCTGTCTTGTTGAGCGCAGGGACACTGAGAACATTATATTTCACACACTTTAAGCACTTTTATTTTCCAAATGTATGCTAATAGGATTAATCTAACGAATCGTTCAGTTTGTAATGCGTACCGAACCGAAAGCCTCGTACCGAACGGTTCAATACGAATACGCGTATCGTTACACCCCTATTAATTAGTCATTTATTAATAGTTATTCACATTAATTGTATTCAATCTGCCAATACAGATAGTATATCATTGCTAACTCTGTGAGTTTATATATAGATCCATTTTGATGGCTGGAGTGAGGAGTATGATTTTTGGCTAGATGCTGATAGCCCAGATCTGCACCCAGTAGGCTGGTGTCAGAAGACAGGTCATCCTCTACAACACCCCAACGGTAACATACTCTTTGACACATTTATATACAGTGTTTTCACACATGGCCCTACCAGACTCATAATCAAACTCGTAATTATAACTATATCAGGTCCCAGAGATTCTCCAGTGCCTCCAGGACAAGGCTGCCCAACCCCAGGATGCAACGGAGTCGGACATATTAGAGGACCTCGGTATGGGACACATTACACGTAAGTTATACACATAATGTTGCACATACAACCCATAATGTTCATTCAAATGCAACTGAGTCTCTTTCCCATTTTTAGGGTGGTGAGCTGTCCATACTCAGATGTGAATTTGAATAAGGACGGGCTGGTGCCGGACAGACTGAACGGGGAGAGGCCGGTCACGCTCAGTGGACCTCCGCGCCACCGCCGTGCTGAAATGCTCACTCAGACGCACCCTCCCACACCCAGCGCCAGCACCCCTGAAGCCCCTGACACCACCACAGACGCCTGTCCACCAGCTCGCTCAGTGCGTGAGCACGTTGTGTGAGTGTCATGAGTTACTTATGGTTTTACTTCTCTCTCCCTCTCACACACACACTCTCACTCCTCATCTCTTTCTCATTCCTCCTGTACTTCAGGTCTGGCAGCGCTCCCAAATGTGTCAAGCCACCTCAAGTGAAGCAGGAAGGTGACGGGAAAGGTACACATTTATCAGATTTTGTGATATTTTGGCTTAATTTGCATTTATGGATAATCCATAAACTCTGAGAATATTGCAAATAAAGTCATGCTCATCTTTTTTGCCTGTATGTGTTAAGTTATTACCTTAGTATATTAACTTATATACAATAATTTGAATACACCTCTTCTATAAGCATTTCTTAATTCAAATTAGTTTGATATTTATGGTGGGTATGAAGTCAAGCTTACAATATCATAATTAAAAAAAAGCTTAATTAAAAGAACAAAATTCTTCAAAAGACATTTAGTAGTATTGCAGTCTATTATTATTTCTTAGAGCAAAACTGCTTTTCTCCCTTTTGTCCACCAAATCAATGTCATGTGGTGCAACTAAGATAATCAGAAAAAACTTAAAATAGGAAATGCCGCCGTGCTGAAATGCTCACTCAGACGCACCCTCCCACACCCAGCGCCAGCACCCCTGAAGCCCCTGACACCACCACAGACGCCTGTCCACCAGCTCGCTCAGTGCGTGAGCACGTTGTGTGAGTGTCATGAGTTACTTATGGTTTTACTTCTCTCTCCCTCTCACACACACACTCTCACTCCTCATCTCTTTCTCATTCCTCCTGTACTTCAGGTCTGGCAGCGCTCCCAAATGTGTCAAGCCACCTCAAGTGAAGCAGGAAGGTGACGGGAAAGGTACACATTTATCAGATTTTGTGATATTTTGTCTTAATTTGCATTTATGGATAATCCATAAACTCTGAGAATATTGCAAATAAAGTCACGCTCATCTTTTTTGCCTGTATGTGTTAAGTTATTACCTTAGTATATTAACTTATATACAATAATTTGAATACACCTCTTCTATAAGCATTTCTTAATTCAAATTAGTTTGATATTTATGGTGGGTATGAAGTCAAGCTTACAATATCATAATTAAAAAAAAGCTTAATTAAAAGAACTAAATTCTTCAAAAGACATTTAGTAGTATTGCAGTCTATTATTATTTCTTAGAGCAAAACTGCTTTTCTCCCTTTTGTCCACCAAATCAGTGTCATGTGGTGCAACTAAGATAATCAGAAAAAACTTAAAATAGGAAATTATATTATAGATATGTTGGCCCTCATGGCTGTCATGGTCAGATAATTAGTGTGAGTGAGTGTGAAAGACTTTTGCAAGCATGTGAGTGAAAAAAAAAAGTATAAATGTGTGCTTGCATCTAATGTCAGGGAATTCTTGCTCTGGGCAAATCTGGAATTGAATGTCTCAGTTTGTATTTACTGCAGATGAAATATTTGATCTTGTAAAATGCATTTGTTAAATTGAAAAAATTGTATAGTGAATTGGACAGTGTGCTGACACCATAGACACTGCAAATAGAGTTAGGAATAGAAATGAGGGGTGAGAGTGTGTGTGTTTTAAGCCTCTGAGACCCTGACATTTTGCCTTACATGCATTCCTGAATACTAAGATATTTTGTTCTGTCATTCACTGAGCAAAAGCTTTTTGTACATCTCTGACCTGCTGTGTATAATACAGCTGTAATTCTCAACTCTGCTGCAACTGATTTTACATGTTGGAATCACTTTGTTTTCATGTACTGGTTTGGATTTGCAGTGCTTCTCAAAGTTGTCAGTATACGCACATGCATATATGCAGGTTGCAATAGGTTCAGAATAATAGATCCCGTTAGGGTTGGAAACTGGAGAAAAATTCGAAAATGGGGGTACAAAAACTAAAACACTGAATAAATATAGATAATAGTCTGCAGATGCATTTGGCTAAGTAATAAAGGCATTTGGATGGTGATGGAAAATTAAGATCTGGGGAATCCTCATCACAGTGGTTAGGGTCACGGATGAGTTTATATCAGACTTTGTTTTCTTTGGTTTATGTGTGTGTTTGTAGATTAAATGTCTCTAATCAGACTCTTTATGTGTGACTGATTGTGTGTTTGTGAGGTTTTTTTTTTTTTTTGGTCAAGTCTCAAATGGATGAATGAATAAATTGAAGGAGAGAATAAATACAGATTTCCAACATAGCTGTTTTGTTTAGTTTTGGTTTTCTGTCATACAGAATACATAATTCAATCATATCCCACATGCTTTTCTTATACCAAACTGAAATTTTAAAAGGTAGCGCTTATGAAAAACAGGCTCAACTGGTATGGATTTTCTCTTGTGTCTGTTTTATGCAATCAAACATACTGTGTTTGAGAGCAAAAATAATCAGATTGTAATTTAAAAAAATAAAAGATTGTTTGAACTTATTAATTACAAAAATAAATGACCTGATAACAAAACTCTTTGCACTGTGAATGAATCTTTCTGGTTGTAGTTCTCACACTTTTCATTACACAACCATAAAAACTAAAAAAAACATGAAACATTTGCTTACATATTTGGCACATTGTTTAATAATATATGGTGTAGAGAGTTTTATCAATTATTTTAAGTAGACATTAATCATTTTTTATTACAATATAAATAAATTTGCTCTCAGACACTATGTTTGGTTGCATAGTAAAAAACAGAAGTAACTCCATATACTGGGCATATAGCCTACACAACAGAATCTAAAATATTGAACATTCATAAATGCCCAATCTGAAGTCATATGATATATTCTAATATATATTCTAATAACTTAATGTAATATATAATAACAATCTGAGTCAGTCAGGAAAAGTCTTGAAATGGGCCTGGGTCCTCTGAGACTCTAAGAATAGGTTATTCTGCCCACCGTGGGACCCAGCGGGCTTGCACACATGTTCCCATGACCCTCTAACCACACTCTCTCTCCCTCGCTCACTCCCACGTCACTGGCCGGTTAAAGTAAACGCGCCTCGGCTCGCCTCGCGCTCGCGATACACGCGTCTGCTAAGGACGGAGACTGATGGATTAGTGCGGAATTAGATTAGAGTCGCGTATTTGAAACGGACCGTGAACCATGAGTCTCCGGTGGAGGAGAAGCTACTGAGGTGAGTTTAAGGGAGTTTAACTTTAGGTGGTGATGTGTGGACTTAATGTATTTCTACAGCACGATCTCTACGGGTATGAAAACAAGCGTACTGAAAACCTGCCACTCGTACTGCGCTTGCGTAATATGTTTGTTTGACACCACAAAATTTGCTTCTGTAAATGTGCATTTTTTCCATGTTAAAACATTTTGCCAATCCCATTGTTATGGGGCAGCTTTAATTAAGCCATTTTCATGTTGATTGCAAAAGTGAAAGTGGCGCTATCATAACATCAGGCCTATTCTGTTTGTTTGAGAATCCAATTAGCCCAGTCTAGAAATATTGACTTAACCAATTGCACGAGTTTAGGGGCAAACCTTGAAGTTTTTTCAAGTAATGTCAACCACTGACTAAATCTGAAACCGCTATTTTAAAAAACCATGGGAAATTATAGAGCGAACCTATGGTGATCTCAATTGACCTTATATGTGACCCTGGAGCACAAAACCAGTCATAAGTAGCATGGTATATTTGTAGCAATAGCCAACAATGCATTGTATGATTTTTCTTTCATGCCAAAAATCATTAGGATATTAAATAAAGATCATGTTCCATAAAGATATTTTGTAAATTTCCTAACGTAAATATGTGCAATAATATGCACTGCTAAGAACTTCATTTGGACAACTTTAAAGGCGATTTTCTTAATATTTAGATTTTTTTGCACCTTCAGATTCCACATTTTCAAATTGTTGTATCTAATGTATTGTTGTAATATAATATTTAACCAAATATTTTCCTATCCTAACAAACAATAGCCTACATCAATGGAAAGCTTATTTATTCAGCTTTCAGATGTATATATGATGTATAGAAATGATGATGTGGTCCAGGGTAACATGAATAAACAGTTTAGTGGAAAAGAAAAATATCAAAATAGTGGTTATCGTTACACAAAATTATGTTGTTCGATTAAAATACGTTTATAAATACCATTCTAACATTTTTGCAGTGCCAATGCAGTGTCATTTACAGATCAGTGCTTATGGTTTAGAATTTGAGTTGGATTTGTTTGCCTGTCCTGACTAGAAGCACTGGTAGTTAAAAATAATAATAATTACGGTGGTCGAGAGAGCTCAGTGCACAAACAAAACAAAACAAACAAAACACATGTAAATTAAGAAAACATATTCATCAATTTGGCATCACACGCGCTGCAAATGCTCACAACTCAAACAAAAACAGAAACACGCTGCAAATATAAATATATAACATAGTTCATTTTAATTTTGTTGAGGTAATATTGTTGTGGTTTGTGCTACTTGCACGTTTCTGTATATTTGGTTGGGTTGTGAGTATTTGCAGCGCGTTTCTTTATTTGTTTGTGTTGTGAGGATTTGCAGTGCTTTGTATTTGGCTGTGTTGTGAGTTTGCATTACATGTGCTGTCAAACTAATGAAGATGTTTTCTTAATTTGCTGGTGCTTTTTCTATTTGCATATGTTTTCTGAAGTTGCAGCGCGTTGAGCTCTCTCGGACACTGTAAATAATAATAAATTGTATCTTCTTAAGAAATTGGTTACAGCGATTCTGCATCCTGATATCTATTTTCTACAACAACAAAAAAAATGCTACCCATGATTTTAACACACGATGTGTCAAGAACAAGGTAGGACATTTTTATTGTAGGATGAAAAAAAAACATTGTTAATTGCAATTGTGTTTTTTATATACAAAGGTTAAAATAAGAAAACAGACAGAAGTAGACAGACTGCCTTATTGAGCAGATATGAAACATCAGACAGCATTTGGAAGGAACTGGAAGCACAAAGAACTTAAAAAAAGGATTATACAAGGATTGTCATGGATTAGCTGTCTTGCCCACAAATAAATGCTTCTGAGAAACTAGGATTATTGTAATGATGCATGCTTTCAATATGCGAAAACTCTCAGTATTATCATTTAAAAAGACTATGTATGATAAAGGTTCTATAAAATATTATTTTTATATTTATATAAAAGTATTTTATATTTTATTTATTTTTTAAATAATACATTTATCAAATAAAATGAAATTATAGTTGCAAGTATGGAGAGGAATTGGGTTATGTGAGAATAACCCACTCACTCTTTACTTTTTAACCAACTACAATTTATATTTAAATCTTCCTTTAGTATTTTGTACCTTTTCAGGGTGATTTTATTGAGTATTTGAAGTTCATTATCCCATTTTATGCTTTTTTTAGGAGAATGTCTGAGATAAATGCTCCCACAGAAAAAGTCTCTATAACAGCCCCAGAGTTGGAGACTCCCTTAAGGCCAGATACAGGGCCTGTGATTGGTGGACTGCGTTTGCGATCTGCACCAGGGGCTTGTTTGTTATTTGCAGGTGTTTTGCTGATAGTAGGCATCAGCGTCGCTGTGGGGGGGTATTGGAACAATCAACCCCGCCGACAAACGCCACATCATGTTTCAACTGGACGCACCTCTTCAGAGAAACTGAAGCTGATTGGTCCTGTCATCATGGGGGTGGGGCTTTTTATCTTTATTTGTGCCAACACAATTCTCTATGAAAATCGTGACCGAGAACAACGTCATAAGCGAGACCAACATAAAGACAACCAGGAGATCCTACCACTGGTACAAACTCAAAGGAACAGTCATTCAAAACGGTTCTCACAAACAGAAATTAACACCAACACGCATACATTGGACTTGTCTGAACTCAACATCCATTGCTTAGAGGAAGGGGCCGGAATCCCCACCCTAAAGTGTTCTTCGCCATCCTCTGGCTCATGTAGCTCCAGTCAAGTGAACTTGGAAACCGGATCACCCCTCCGAGATCGCAGAAACATGGAAAGATTGGCATTGCCTGTCATTAAAGTCAATGACTGTCTGATTGCCTCCTCAGACCCAGTGCCTCCACCTCTCCCTGATCGGACATACCGGAACAAGATGGGAGTGGAAAATATAGCAAATGTGGAGCTAACACAAGTGAATCTTGCAGATTCATCTCTAATGATATTGAACAAAGAAGAGCCAAAGGATCGGTAGACTTTAACGCCTGCAGTCCACACTAAGGTCCACATAGTGAATATATTGAATATATTCAAGCCAAAAGATGTTAGGGTTTAGTATAGAACAGATTTCTCTATTTGATTCGATTCTGATTCATTTGGGTGTATTTCCGTTATAATGTCCAATTTGCTTACAGTTCTTTCTTTGCTAATGCTGTGATTATATAGTGTTTCAGATGGAGTCAAGCTAATCTTTTTGAACCCACTTATTTGCATGAATCAGCTTCACTGGTCACGCAGTATGTTTTTGATTCACCAAAAAAAACTCAGTCATTTGTTCGTGAACGGCCACGTATGTCTGTTTATACAAGGAGTCATTTTATGTTGTCATATTGCTGTACAGTCTTTTTTTATTACATCACAGTATACAGAACTCCCATTTAGCTTAACCATTTAGGAATAATGGATTGTTACCTGACTTGTGAGAGTTGCATAAGGCTTTGTAGACTTTTGTTCATGTGAATTTTAAGTAATCAATTATACATTATCCTATTTTTTCATGTGGTGCCACCCACACAAGCCCAAAAGTATAGAGACTGCGCTATGTGTCATTGTGTTTGTAGTGCTGGTCTTTATAGTTCACATAAATGTCAGGGCAAAAATGAAAGGCGGCCACCTGTGATACACACATAAATATACACATGTGCATGCATACAGCTGCTCCTTCTCCTGTCTTAACTGTTCTGCATCCAACATGTTCAAATTCTTAGAGACTGAAAGACAAGCTTTAAGCAGTCGCAGTCACATGCAGTCATACAGTAGCAAGTAATCCTCTATTTTGATTAGTTTGGGTTAATCCTGAACAATGCTATTGCTGCAAAACCAGTACAGCTATCTGATACCCAGCAAAAGTAATGTGGATTAAAGTTGCTTTAACAGTTCACTATACACTAAGGAATGAGGGTTTGACTGGTCTAGTGAGCCCCTGCTGATGAACGTTGTAACTAAATTGTTTTACTTTTGCTCTTGTGTGTATGTGCAGTTTGTATATGTGTGTTTGTAACCTCAGTCTCCGGTGTGATGTTCCATAGGTCTTTAGTCCTCTCCTGATTTTTGTAAAGGTTGGTTTTTGTAATGGACACAGGTTGTGTGGTCGGAGTGGAGGTGAGTGGTTGGTCAGCTGGGATCTGTGGGCGGGGTTTGGGCGGAGCCACTGGGTAAATAACAGGTGTGGGAACTAGAGACAGAAGAAGAAATATTCAAGAAGACATGGTAACAGATGGACTGACGTTAGAGAATATTCATTTCTGATGTCTTGTGTGATTCATACTGTAATCTTTAGGGGAGATGCCCATAAATGTGAACCAGCCGTCCTCCGCTTCTGTCTGCAGTTGTACTGGTTTTTTCTCTGGTACAGATGGTGTTTTTGTTCTTTCCTCTATTTTTATCTGCCTCCTATCATCAAAGTCTCCGGGCACGACTGGAAACTGTGGGGTTTGTATGATGCTTGTCCTCTTCTTCTCTGGTACTATTATTTGTTCTTTAGCGCTCACGGTCATCACCTCAATCACTTGCTCCTCTGTTCTCACTCTGCTCTGAATCACCTCCTCTCCGGTCTCCTCATACAGCTCAACAGCTGGACCTCGCAGTAGTGGAAATGAGGGCACTGAAACAAACACAATGTATGATGAATATTTTGATTCATGCTTTTACATATGTGCATTTGTGGTTGTGTGTGAGTGTTTGCACCTGATTCTTTAGGAGAAACATCAAAAATGATGAACCAGTCGTCCTCCACGTCTCTTTGAGGTTCTGCTGCTTTCTGCTCCAGAATAACTGGCTCTGGCCTTCTATAAACCACTGTCATCTGCTCCTCCTCTTTTCTCCTTCTCTCCACAGCTCTCTTTTCTTCAGCCTCCAAAGGAGTCACAGACCCAACACGAATTTCTGGAGTGACAGGAATTACACATTATCACTGAAAATCACCACAGCAACAATCTTGAGTTGTAAAAGTCATTAGAGCACAAATCCATTAACTTTCTGCTTTATTTCTCACATATAATTTAACTTACACTTACAACGTTTTCTTAAACTTAACATTCATAACTTTCCATACTTAACGTTAACAACAGTGTTTTGGATCTCAAATGCCACAGTTACTCTTCATGTTTGTTTACAAAAAAGTGCAGTTTGGACATTCTGCTTAATAATGTCTTTGTTACATGGATAGGAAGGAAAATCATATAGGTTTGCAAAAATATATATCACACAGTGGCACAAGGAAAAATTAATTATTCCAGAAATTTTGGGTAACTTAGCCCTCTAATAATGAATCTATAACACGAATATCAAAAATGTGCATTATGGAAGTACTGGCCAAATTTGAGTGTGATTATGTTTGCAGCAAAAAGTACTTCACCTGATGGGAAACTCTTCTGCTCATGCTTATGCTCATCAAAAAGCTGAAACCAGTCATCATCAAAGTCTCTGGGCACGACTGGAAACATGGTTTGTATGATGCTTGTCCTCTTCTTCTCTGGTGCTATTATTTGTTCTTTAATGCTCACGGTCATCACCTCAATCACTTGCTCCTCTGTTCTCACTCTGCTCTGAATCACCTCCTCTTTGGTCTCCTCATACAGCTCAACAGTTGGAGCTTGCAGCTGTGGATACGCCAAGGGCTCTGCAACAAACCAAACCCATGATGCGTGTTAAGATATGTGTGTTTATGTTTGTGTGTGTGTTCTTGACTGTGGTTGTGTGTAAGTGTTTGTACCTGATTCTTTAGGAGAAACGTCAAAAATTATGAACCAGTCATCCTCCACGTCTCTTTGAGGTTGTGTTGTCTTCTGCTCCAGGATAACTGTCTGTGGTCTCCCATAATCCATTGTCACCTGCTCCTGTTGTTTTATTTGCTCTGTTCTCACTCTTCCCTGGATCACCTCCTCTCTGGTCTCCTCATACAGCTCAACAGAGGGCACTGAAACAAACACAATCCATCATGCATATACTAATTTGTGTGTTTTACACGAGCGTGTGATTATGGTTGTGTGTGAGTGTGTGTACCTGATCTTTTAGGAGAACCATCCAAAACAACAAACCAGTCATCCTCTTTGTCTATTTGAGGCTCTGCTGCTCTCTGCTCAAGAACAAATGGCTGTAGTCTCCTATAATCCACTGTCACCTGCTCCTCTTGTCCTTTCTGGACCTCCTCCGTTTTCACTCTGCTCTGAATCACCTCCTCTCTTGTCTGTGTTTTTGTCTTCTCGGGTGTCACCAACTCTTGCTGTATTTTTCTTTCTGCCTCTCTCTTCTCTTCTTCACGCTGATCTTCTTCAGGAGTGTATCTGCTCACATCTGGTTACAGAAACTCATTTTAATGGTTGAAATTGGTTGAGAAGTAGGCTATTTTAAAATCATGTCTCTAGTGTTATAAAGAGCGGTCAGGAATAACACATTTGCTCAGCTACTCACAGGGAAACAGATGCAACTTATATACAGTGGGGCAAAAAAGTATTTAGTCAGCCACCAATTGTGCAAGTTCTCCCACTTAAAAAGATGAGAGAGGCCTGTAATTTTCATCATAGGTATACCTCAACTATGAGAGACAAAATGAGAAAAAAAAATCCAGAAAATCACATTGTAGGATTTTTATATATATATATATATATATATATATATATATATATATATATATATATATATATATACCTTATTTATTCATTTATAGTTTTCTTCTTCTTGTAAGCATAAATCTCATTAATTATGATAGATTTCTACTTGAAAAAAAGAACTGTTTGCCAGTTGAGTAAAAAAAATAAGCTTAATTCATTATTACTGTAAGATATTATAAGATATATTATTATAATATCATTATACAGAGAGGACATTGTTCAGGTACCTCCAGCTCCCACACAAAGCAGGTGTCGTCCAGGAAATTCACTCGGCACTGCAACATGTCTCAGACTATTCTCTTCTCTTCTATTTATTCCTCTGGTGGAGTAATTCAGTTGGCTTTGTCCTTTCCTCCACTTTAGGTATCAGGGAATAAGCTACAAAAGTTCAATCCTCTTCAGAACTGCACTTTAGTTCACATTCCTGTTACCGTTTCTATACTGTCGCAGCACACGTCTGTATGAGGCATCATAAGAGGCCCTGCCCTCCTGCACTGTCCCGTTTTGTGATAGTGCTAGGAGTGTTTTAGAAAGATATGACCCACCCCTCTCTCTGACACAAACACATATAAATACACGCACATGGCTGTTTACAGTTATGAGTGAGGGGGTCAGTCATCACATGATGAACATGAATTTATTTGTCCATCATGACTGGAGAAAGAGGAGGCAAGGAAGGAGGAATCACTTCATTATAAATGGATTATTTACAGTATTTAATGTGATGTTGCCCGCTCTTTCTGAATGAGATAAACTGATAAGAATGGGTGCGGTAGCGAAAACCTTCATGCGACTCTTTCCTCACGTAACATCTTATGAGAAAATATGTGCACGGCAATACTGTTTATATGCCATATGATATGCAGGGCTTGAAGTGACCTTTTAAATAATCCTTGGTTTATATACAGTATATATGTATATGTTATATATACATATATATATAAACAATATAATATAATATGTATATGTTATATATACTGTACATATAATGTTGTGGCTTAAGAAAAAAATTTAAGTTTTATTACTGTATGTTAATAATTTAATTGAACGTCTTGTGAGAATTCAAATATACTGAGGAATTTGGAAGATCCTTTGTCATTCACATTGTTGTAAATGTAACAATCAGCAATCATAAAATGTGACCCTGGACCACAAAACCCACAAAAGTCATAAGGGTCCATTTTTACATAATTTGAAATCTAAATAAATAAGCTTTTCATTGATGTATGGTTTGTTAGGATAGGACAATATTTGGCTGAGATACAATTATTCGAAAATCTGGAATATGAGGGTGCAAAAAAATCTAAATATTGAGAAAATTGCTTTTAAAGTTGTCCAAATGAAGTCCTTAGTAATACATATTACTTATCAAAAATTAAGTTTTGATATTTACGGTAGGAAATGTACAAAATATCTTAATGGAACATGATCTTTACTTAACATCCTAATGATTTTAGGTATAAAAGAAAAATCGATAATTTTGACCCATGCAATGTATTGTTGGCTATTGCTACAAATATACCCGTGCTACTTATGACTGGTTTTGTGCTCCAGGGTCAAAAATGAGCATCACAAAAATTTATTTTAAAATTTGTAATTTTGTACTAAATTTTTCTTTCAAGTTTCAAATAAACTACTTATTATTTCCTTTGCCTTATCCCTATTAAACAAGTCTATTAAATGTGAGGTGTTCTTTGGTCTTCTCATAGCCCTCACCAGCCATCTGTGACAAGTGTGGAGGATCAACACAAATTCCCATGACGTTATTGAGAACTGTGCAGATGAAACCAGACCCAGTATCTTAAACAAAACTGAAAACATTTTCAACACTGTTTTGAACCCCTGTCACCTCCAATAGCATTGCTAACAACTGTTTTATTATTTAGTTGCTAACTTCAAAGTGAAAAGCGACAGTCTCCACGGACACACATATTCACTGATATGAGTGACACTAACATATGGGACTAAGCAAGCCTTTCCATCCGTTTATCCATTCTCTAAACCTGTATGTAAGGTCGTGAGGAGGTTGCCTTTCTATTTAACATTAAATATAAGTGCATTATATGTGACCCTGGATCACAAAACCAGTCTTAAGTAGCACAGGCATATTTCTAGCATACATTGTATGGGTCAGAATTATTGAATTATTGAAATCATTAAGATATTAAGTAAAGATCATGTTTAATGAAAATATTTAGTAAATTTCCTACTGTAAATATATCAAAACATAAATTTTGATTAGTAATATACATTGCTAAGAACTTCATTTGGACAACTTTAAAGGCGATTTTCTCGGTATTTAGATTTTTTTGCACCCTCAGATTCCAGATTTTCAAATAGTTGCCAAATGTTGTCCTATCCTAACAAATCATACATTAACAGAAAGCTTATTTATTCAGCTTTTAGATGATGTATAAATCTCAATTAAAAAAAAACTGACACTTATGACTAGTTTTGTGGTCCAGGGTCACATATTACTATATAAATGTGTCTTGGGCAAATTAATCCCAGAACAGTCCTCTGTCTGTTATCTCTCTCAGTGCAGAGGAACGCATGAGAACCTCAGATAGATAACACTGTAACTGTCATACTTTTACACATGTACAGCCTAAAAGTCATTTAAGACCAGTGGCGGTTGCATAAATTGTTAAAACTGGTCACAGCATTTTAAAGACGGTTACTTAAAAATATAGATTGGGTTCATTTGAATCAGAAAAGTAAAACTGATTATCCCTTGGCTAGCTGTCAGATTATTGCAAAATGAAGTAGGGTCCAATGATAAACTCTGTTAATTAAAGCCAACATGGAAAAGTACCTTTTAGTTTTCAATATCTCACATATGAGAGTCTGTTTCATGGTTGAAAAGGTTGAGTTTGCAGCAATACTGGAATACTTTAAACACTTCCAACAATTTATTCAAAACATGCGCTTTCACAGTAATTTGGACATCAGTGGCTAATTTTAATGAGACTGGTGAAATCAGAGATTTTTCCATTATTAACCAATGTAGTGTTCCTTTTTTGACTGCATGGAAGATAATAAACTAAAATGCTGCTGGAGACAAAATAAACATTCAGTCTGATAAGTGAGATCATTTATTGTTATTGTTGCATTACATTTTTGGTTATTTAAGTGTCACTCGCTGATATCAAAAGCTGTATTATATTATTGTAAATAACATGGCACAAATAAATGGCAAAACCCCCCGAAAACAGTCATCTTTAACGATTTCAAACAAAAAAAATTTAAAAATAAAGGTAAAATTAAGTTGTTCTTGTTTAATTCATTTGTTTACCACTATCATTCAACAGTAGTTGGATTAAGTGTAAGTTTTGAAGTTGACTGATATAAAAGACACTCTCTACTGAATGATCAATAGTGTTTTAGCAGCAGTGAAGATGCCATTCACATTGTGGAGGATGGAAAAAATACCTCCATCCTGACACAGTAAATCACACAAACATTTAAAAAAAACATAAATCATGACATATGTTTTAGTATAATATATCAGCAAATGCTGTTCACTACCTTTGAATTTCAATTTCTTTCTTTGCCATTTTCAGGAATTTTTCATGTTCAGTGTTAATTATTCACAATCAACAGCATTTGTGACATAACATTGATTACCACAAAAAATTATTTCAATTTGTCCCTCGTTTTCTTAAAAAAAAAAAAGAAAGAAGCAAAAATCAAGTATCACGGTTATGCTACTGCACTTGAAATGAAAGTGAACGGGTCCAGTTTTTGGAGCATTTAGAAGTAGAAAAGCGGAGCTCATCATGTTCTTAAAGGGGTCATATGATGCGATTTAAATTTTTCCTTTCTCTTTGAAGTGTTACAAGCTCTTGGTGCATAAAGAAGATCTGTAAAGTTGCAAAGACTAAAGTCTCAAATCCAAATCCAATCCAAGATATTCTTTATAAAAGTTAAGAGTCAACCACGCCTACCTAAAACGGCTCGTTCTAACACGCCCCCACATGTCTACGTCACGATGTGGGAAGATTTGCATAACACCGCCCAAATGTTCACGCAAAGAAAGAAGGCGTAACTTTTATTCTCGCTGTAGTATTGTTGCCGCCGCTATGCTGTGTAGACAGTTTCTCGTTGTGTTTTTTGGCCATCCAAAAGAGGACCATATCCGCTTCGTCATGCCTAGAGCTGATCTGTGCTGGTCGCTGAGGAAATACATCAACTCCGCGCTGTGGATCACCGGATCGGCTTTCACCGCGGACGAAGCGGAGTCCAGCCCGGGGTCGTCACATGTGGTTGCCACAAGCCCGCTCAAGCTCACCGGCCTCCTCTCACTCATCCGGCCGGCCGTTCCTCACTCTAGCCGCCGGCCTCTGCTCACTCTAGGCCGCCGCCGTGTGTGACGCTGTGTTTCGTTGTGAAAGCGAAACTACTTTGTTTGGCCTTCCAAAAGAGGACACGACTAGAAATCAGTGGTTAAGTTGTATTTACAACACTGTTCCAGAACAGTTCAACCCAAATATTCACAGACTGGAAGTACATTTTTTATATTTAAAGAATTTGCCACTGATGATTCAAACGCGAGTTTTGGGCAGTGTAGAGTAGAGCTTGTTGTTTGTCATTTCTCTGATCACAAATGCAGACATGGTTTTATGTTACGCTCCGGCCGGACAGGCATCACAGTATGGTAGGGGCGTAACATTTCCGTCACACGCTTGAGGTATTCGGCCAATCACAATGTACTGGATAGCTAGCCAATCAGAGCACACCTCGCTTTTCAGACCGATGAGCTTTGTAAGAAAAAATCGACCGTTTCAGAAAGACGGGGCATAGAGGAGAAACAATAATGTACAGTATGTGGAAAATAATGTGTTTTTTTAACCTTAAACTGCATAAACACATTTCATTACACCAAATACACAAAATAATGTTCTTTTTAGCAACATCATATGACCCCTTTAAAGCACTTACATTCTTCTTTTAAAACTATTATTTGATCTGTAACGCTGCTTATATCATGATTTTACAGTCCTTTAAGGGTTTTAGGGTTTATGGCATTATTGTGTTATGATGATGAAATTGTAAAACTGGATATTGCTTTACACAGAAAAGCTTAGTAAGTGATTTTTTTCCATACTAAAATCATGTTAATAATGCACACTATTCTTGTGGCTATACTATCAAAAGACTGAGTATTTTCATGTTTATGAATTGGCCACATTCACTGTCCATTTTAAGTTTCTAACTGTAATTCTTTTTTTTTTTCTTTTTTTTTTTAAAGAAAAAGAGGGACATGGCGAATTATGCCAAAAAT